GCCACTGATAAGGCTGCCTGACGGCTGACGCAGACCTTAAATTCGAATGCAACATTTTTGCATTCGAATGTGGATTTTTTTTTATTCGACGAATATTCTAAAAAAAAAAATTGACAGCCCTAGTAGGTACAAAGTTTAACCATTAAACATGGGCTTACATTGCTGCAGATAAAGTTTTTAACTAGTTTCTTTATGCATCACGTCAGTGCTTGTGAAAAATTAGCATACCCCTGCTTAAAGGGTTAGTTAACCCAAAAATGAAAATTCTGTCATTTATTACTCATCCTCATTCATCTTCAGAACACAAATTAAGATATTTTTGATGAAATCTGAGAGCTCTCTGGCCCTGCATAGACAGCAACACAACTGAAATGTTCCCAGACCCAGAAACGTAGTAAGGACATCGGTAAAACAGTCCATGTGACATCAGTGGCTCTACTTCAGTTATGCAAAGCTACAAGAATACTTTTTGTGCACACAGAAAACAATTCTTCTCCCAAGTTACCGTCGTCCACCATTATGGAGAGTACCACGATGCATGCGCGCGCTTTACCCAGAACGTAATCAGCTAGCGTTGTTTACGCTCAGGAGAAAGCGCGCGCATGCTGCATTGAAGTTGAGCCACGGATGTCGCCAAGAGGTCGCATGGACTGTTTTACCGATGTCCTTACTACGTTTCTGGGTTTGGGAACATTTCAGTTGTGTTGCTGTCTATGCAGGGTCAGAGAGCTCTCAGATTTCATAAAAAATATCTTAATTTGTGTTCCGAAGATGAACGGAGGTCATATGGGTTTGGAACGACATGAGAGTGAGTAATTAATGACTGAATTTTTGGGTGAACTAACACTCTTAAGACAACCTGAGAGGTTTTAGGGTCCTGGTTAGGCTGGGAGACCAGCAAGACTATCTTAAACCAGCTCAGAGCATCCAACCAGATTAAAGAGATAGTTCACCCAAAAATGAAAATTCTGTCATTAATTACTCACCCTCATGTCGTTTCAAACCCGTAAGACCTTCGCTCATCTTCGAGAGCTTTCTGACTCTGCATAGACAGCAACGCAACTGACACATTCAAGGCCCAGAGAGGTAGTAAGGACATTGTTAAAATAGTCCATGTGACATCAGTGGTTCAACCGTAATTTTATAAGGCATTGAGAATATTTTTTGTTGCGTGAAGAAAACAAAAATTACGACTTTATTCAACAATTTCTTCTCTTCTGTGTCAGTCTTTAATGCGCGTGCAGTCATGAGTTCATGACAGTACCAGAGCCGCAGCGCATCCAGGTTCTACGTCAGAAGCCGGCTCCTGCATCAGCAGCAGCACCACATGCATGCCTAGTACTCTAGTGAACATGCATCGAAGACTGACACGTAAGAGAAGAAACTGTTGAATTAAGCCATTATTTTAGTTTTCTTTGCGCACAAAAAGTATTCTCGTAGCTTCATAAATTTCGGTTGAACCACTCATGTCACATGGACTATTTTAACGATGTCCTTAGTACCTTGAACGTGGAAGTTCCGTTGCTGTCTAGGCAGGGTCAGAAAGCTCTCGGATTTCATCAAAAATATCTTATTTTAATTTCTTATTTTTGTGTTGTGAAGATGAATGAAGGTCTTATAGGTTTGGAACGATATGAGAGTGAGTAATTAATGACAGAATTGACATTTTTGGATGAACTATTCCTATTAAAGTTTTGTCGTTTTTCTCAGAGCATGCTTTCTGCCAATGTGTTGTATTCCACTAATGTGTGCTGTTTGATTTCAATGTGTTTTTCCTTCTAAGGCTTTTTCAAAGAACCTGAGAGTGACTTTCGGAGAGCCCTGGAACTGAATCCTAATTTTAAAGATGCTAAAGAAAGTTTGCGGCAGACACTACTGGACCGTGAAGAAAAGTTGAAGAGAGGCTACTGAAGAGAACTAGTCATTCAATTTTATAATCAAACTCATTAAACTGTTGATTCAACTATAAGTTATATTGTCATGGACAATCCAAGAGCATATGATTGTGCAGTCATGAGTTGAAATGACATTCAAACATTTAGGCCTGGTTTCACAGACAGGGCTTAGATTAAGCCAGGATTAGGTCATAGTTCAATTGGTGTTTAAGTAGTTTTTATAAATGTAAACAATGGCGCATATTTTAAGATATAAGCCTCAAGCCTTGTCTGTGAACTGTAATGTTTCTATATAGAGAGATACTTTCGAACTTTGTGAGTAAAGGGCCAATCCTGTTGGTCATAGCTCAAGATACGAGTGAAAACCTTTCTAAATAAAATGCCTGAAGGTGTACATTTCAGAATACGTTGATTAATTGTTGATTTCTCAATCACAAAGGGGTGCAATAATTATGTGTTTGTTTTTTTAATAAACCCGTTCTTTAAAATGTGCATTTTGCCTATTTTATGCTCTTTGTAAACTTTAAATTATGCTGAATTTCACAAGACCTGTCAAGAATATGTCTGGAACATATTTAACTCTAAATACAAACATAAAATCATAATTTATATTTTAGATTTTGAGCTATTTTGTAGATTTAAACAGAATTGTATTATATTCTATTTTATATTCTCAAGGTTAAAAATACCTCAAAGGAAAATCTACTCATCGTGTACACTGCAATAACTATTTAAAATCTACCAAATGTATTTAACCTTTTCAGTAACCAACACTGTTTATACCAGGGGTTCCCAACCCTGCTCCTGGCGATCGACTGTCCTGCAAAGTTTAGCTCCAACTCTGATCAAAGACACCTGCCTTTAATTTTTAAGTGATCCTGAAGACCCTAATTAGTTGCTTCAGGTGTGTTTGATTAGGGTTGGAGCTGATCTTTGCAGGACAGTCGATCGCCAGGAGCAGGGTTGGGCACCCCTGGTTTATACCATTCCTAGAAATACTGCATTTTTATTGCAATGATTCTCCACTGGAGTCCCTACTGTGGCAGAGGCCAATGCAAGGGGCATCAACATACAGGAACAACGCTTTCAGAATGGCTCCAAGGCGTTTAGACTTCAAGTTGCCTTCTCTGACACTGTTGTTGTGAGAACTGTGAGTGTCTCATGTCATTTTTAGTGAGTTTAATTGCGGCATCTGAATTTCCCCCCCCTCCCCCCCCTTAGCAAGTTGATGTGACGGTTACAGTTTATACTCTTCATGTCACCTTCGGTTTGATGATCCTGCCTGAATACACTCCGTTCTCCCACACTGCGTCTGTTGATGTAACCCTTCAAGATATCAGTAAGTGCTGATGCTACTAATTTGAATGTCGAAGACTTTTTTTTTTTTTTTTTTTTTTTTTTTTTCTTTCCCCCCCCCCATTCCTAGAAATACTGCATTTTTATTGCAATGATCATTAGCAGAGCTCCGCTTTCACTCAATAATGTGTGAAAGTTCCTCCCTCTAAATACTGCAGCATAATAGTTAACTCGTGACACCTGCTCTTTAGTTGATGACAAGCATCACCTGTGCACAAGAGTTAGCTGATTTATACATTTCTTTTCATTTTTTTGAGCTCTTGTACTAGAAGGGTTTAAATTGTGGTGGTTTCCATAGATCTTGACCACCTGAAATCAGAGAGGCCTGTTTTTCTGAGCAAGGATGACATGGTTTCTTTGGATTTGGTAAGTTATAGTCTGTTTTGAAAATGTTTTGTTGCAGTTTATTTTCTAACATTTGTTTTAATTCTCTTTCAGTACTTTTTGGCTGTTGATGGTTATGGTTTTGGCACAGAAGAATTTCAATGTCCTGTCTACACAGAGGAATTTCAATGTGCCAGCACAAAATTTTAACCAACGTATGTTTTGTTTATGCATGTGTGTACTCGTTTAGGTACAGTAGGCCATATTTGCCATTTAACATTTGATTTTCTGTTTTGTTTAAACTCTGTTTCTTTCAGGAACAGGCCTGAAGATTGATTGTCTGGGAAGTTATATGAGGCTAACAGTAGATAAGTCTCTAGCTCTTGGAAATCAAGTTGAATTTGATGCTCTCAGTAAGTTACCTGCAAATAGATATATTGCCAAGAAAGATGGTCGTAATCTACATATGTGTCAAACTTGTCCTTTTTTTTCCTTTTCAGATGGCTCCCAAATTGAACCTTTAACTCCAAGCTTGGCTGCCAAATGTGGTTTTAGTATAGACTCTGATCCTTGGGGTAACTACAAAGTCTTTGCTTCTCTCCTCAACTGTTTTGCAGCGAATGAGGTAACTGGCTCTTTTTGGCCCTAAGGAGTTGCTGTATCCTACCATCTTCCACTTCAGTAGTTCTTTCTGCATTCAGGATGATAGCGTGTTTGATGTTGACATGCGTGTCCGGGTGCATGGTGTCAAAGCGGAACAAGATGTCTTTGAGGTGGCGAAGACCTGTCACCATGACCAATGGGCCCCCCGTGAAGTTCTTTGCACTCGGAATTATATGGAGGTAAAACCTTGGCTCGCTTGTGCTACACAAACATCAAGCAATAGTAGTCTTTAGATGTCCTAACAATGGCTTCTCCTAGGTTTCTGTTAACCGATTGCCAGAAGAAATTACAGCTTTGCATAGGCGGCCTGTGCCCCGAACAAAAAAGTTTGAGAACCAGTGGACTAGGACTGTTCCTGAGGTATGGTGGTTCAGCTCTTGTTTTGAGTTTGCATGGCACATGCTGCTTGATCAAATGTGCTCTGCCCGCCGTCTTCCAGGCTGTTACGTCTAGGTACGACATCTGGAGGATGGTGTTTTTCACACCTAATCAGAAAGCTATGGTGTTGGAGGATGCCCTGAGGACAGGATATGGTGTAACGACAACCAGGTCTCGATTGGTGTTACGAAGCGGTTATGACATGCCTGAGACCTATGTGGAAAATGTGAGTATGGAAAATGTGGTGCTGCTCTTAATAGTTTTCTTGAACCAATGTTGATTCTGCTGTAACAGGTGAATGGCGTTCCAATGAAGATCATCAGAGTGACCACCTACTTAAAGAAACAGTGGTCCGTAACCATGTTGGATACTGTTGCTGCATGTCCAACTGGTACGTGACCCTATTCCAATAGCATTTGTCCCAGTATTTGCAGGGTTCTTCATTCCTTGTCCTAGAGAGCCACTTTTTCCATACAATTTACTTCCAATTAAATCTACCTGAATTAACTTCTAAAGGTCTCTGGGTTCACTTGAAAATCAGTCAGGTGTGTTGGAGCGTAACTCTGCAGGTAAGTGGATCTCCAAGACCGCGATGGAAGAACCCTGATCTGTTGCTTCTCTTACAGGTGGGCTTTCTTTTACGGATGAGATGATTACCTGGAACTTCCCCCGGTTTAATCCACTAATGAGTTCTATTGAAACCAGTCTCCTTGGGCTGTTCATGGGAATAGATGGAAAGCAGATAGATTCGGTGCAAATGACCGCTAGAGGCTACGTTTTGGCTGTAGTAGAAGATCAAATCATAATGAAAATACCAATTGGTGGACCAGATGGCTACTACAAGGTTTGGTTTCTTGCTTTAATTTGGCAACTTTAAGTCTTGTGCTTAAACCTAATGGTTAACTCCTGTTGTAGAGTCATGCTGTAAATAACCAGTACCATATCACATACAACATTGAGCCAATGCTGGAGTTACTGTGGAGTGAGGGAGGCATGGATACTACAAGATACAAAGTCCTCTACCCCATCAAGACCCCTTTTATGTCTAGACCACCCCACTTTGTTGACCGTGAGTGCTGAGGGTTCTTTGACAGTCCAAGGAATAATTTTTTTTTTTTTTTTTAATGCGTGTATAATTTGTTTTT